CACACACACACACACACACTCTCTTTCCTGCCTTTGGATCGTGCCCTGGATACAACTGCTCAGATCAGACTCCAACCTTGGCGGCTATGGACACCCTGCTTACCTATCACTACCCTAGCTATGGTTGACATCAGTGCTCCCTTCTTCTGCGAGCGCGGTCTTGCCCAAGTCGCTTGGTCACAGAAGCAGTAGCAGTGCTTCTGCAACTTCACGAAAGAACAACTGATGAGCCGTTGCCCTGTAGCAGCTAAATATAGGACTTGTCGTGCCTTGTCGTGCCTTGTCGTGCTTCAGACCGGTACCGGTCAGCCACGGCCTGTCTGCTGCAATCATTTTGTGGGTCCGGAAGCTTCCCGGGCATCCTGGGACTTGCTGCAATTTTTGTGGACATGGGGACTGGACTGGACTTTCCGAACCTTTCCGTGGGGTACCGGACAGACTGTAAAATGACTGGACCGTCCAGACCTTTCCGTTGGATGCTGGCCCCACTTAGACCTACGACACCCTTCCTGGCCTATCGAGCCTACTCTACTGAACCCTTAGACTTGGGGCTTCGAAACTTCCAGAACTTTGGGGATTTGGTGCCGGGCTTTCAGGGGTCTGCAGCATGAAATCCTTTCAACGCTCACAATTCGAGGGGCAATCCCCACTCAGGATGCGGCCCGAAATGTCCAGGGATTCGAAGTTTAGAACATGATTTGCACGAACTGCAATTTACCGCACAAGTCGTGGACCATATGGGCGATCTGCAAATGGCTGACCAGCATGATTTGGTCAAACCGCAAATTTATGGCCCCCAAGATGTAGATCACATGGATGATCTGCAATGGCTGACCAGCAAACAGCCCAGGACATTTTGGGATTCCAACCCCATCTGGGTGACTGTCTGGAACCCGGTCCGGACGTCCGGTCGATTACCCTGTCTTGGCTACTTGTTGGCTATAAAGGCAAGTTTCATACTATTGTATTTAATATTATTCATTTATTTATATTATTTATCAAAAGAAAACTAGGAAAAGGCTCATCATGGGACATACCCATATATGAATGGACTCTGTTCTTCATTTCTTTTCATTTTCATTTTCCTTTCTTTTGCTTCATGCCTACTTTTGGTTTAGGGAAAACAAGCACCTGGGCTTCCCTGGATGAGTCTGACTGTAGTGACATCCAGATCCAGTCCAGTATGGTTCTTTTAGTGTGAATATGCCTGTAGGCTTTAGAGCATCAACTCCTTTCCTATTCAGGATAGACTCTTCCTACTACTTCCCTCTCCCGAAGGAAATACACGGCCAACAAGACTGCATCTGGCTAGAAACCTGGTTTCATGCATTCATGATGCATAGGCGTTCTTTTTGGGAAAAGATGGATGATTCTTAACATTCCCCCGAGCCGCCCACCTGCCCTCCTCCCATGTGCAACATCATCTTTGGAGAAAAGGATTGCTTCTTTCCACCGCCTCCTAGATTTTCTCACTTGTTTATCGAGTTTTAATCCCAAGTGGTGTCCTCTCCCTCCCCCCCCCCCCACCCCACTGGGCTTTCTCCCCCTACCTTTCTTGTACTGCAGGCCTGAAGCAATCTTGGACATTATAAGGTCCGCAGAGAATTTTCAATTTGAGGCAACAACCAAAATGCCAAAACAGGGAACCTGCGAACAATGCGGCTATATTACCAGCCAGGTGAGGGGCCCTATGCTGAGAGATGTCACCTCTGTATCAATACCAACCCCCCCCCCCCCAACCCCTCCCCCCCATCCTCATTTGTCTGTTTGATTATTTGTGTAATTCCTTGTTTTCTTCGTTTGTCTGGTTGTTTGTTTGTTTTTTGTTTTTCGAAATGACTAAAAGAAGCATTCCGACCCCTTGTCTTGTGTGTTTGTTTGTGTCCTACGGTAGAAGGATGAACCAATGATGATATACAAGTCCATTAAAAAAACTTGAAAAAAGGGCAGGGGTGACAAGTCTCCATGCCTTTGACCCCACCCTTCCAGGAGCCAGATGGACAAAACTGACAAGGAATGAAGAGTTGGAACCACAAATAGATGGGCCCAGTTGATTCGGGTGAGGGTGTTAGAGGACGTCAAGATGGGTAGCTTTCTGTACGAACTGAACATCCTCATATGCCAGCCTTCCGTCGACTCTCTTGAATGAGGGTGGGAGTGGGGCGGAGATCACTTCATCAGCATATGGAATTACACAGTAAAGGACCGCTACAAGGCCTCTTACCAACCAGCAGCTACAGCAGAAGTAATCACAGAAAGGTGGGTGAACGACTTGCTGGTCCAACACTCAGACCTCGAAAGTTTTTCATGGACAACGTACTCCCACACCAAACCCACAAACCACTGAGCACTGCAGTGGAAGTTCCTTTATTGGTGTCTTCCCACCCCGGATCTCATAGCGTCCCACACACAGATGGTGCAAAAAGGTCATTTCCCCTCTTTGCTCCTACTGTGGCTTGTCCTCCCCAAACAAGAGGGGCATGCAGGAACGCTGCTTATTGGACTGTCCAATGGCAGTGCAAATCTGGTGCTGGTGGAATGCGGCATGGCAGGAGCTCACAAATCATTATCTACCATGTTGCAATCAACCCGACAGCATCAATCGCTAACTCAACTTACAAAAAATAGAAGCTTTACTGGAGTTTCACACCAAGCAACGAAGTCACGAATCAATCACAAGAAGATGAAAGCACTCTCTAAACTCTTTATTAATGTACATCACTTTTCAGATATAAGCTGTTGATGGTCCCTATTGCCAGATAACTCGAACCAGATACTCCTTGCTCCTTCTCTCTCTCTCTCTCTCTCTCTCTCTCTCTCTCTCTCTCTCTCTCTCTCTCTCTCTCTCTCTNTCTCTCTCTCTCTCTCTCTCTCTCTCTCTCTCTCTCTCTCTCTCTCTCTCTCTCTCTCTCTCTCTCTCTCTCTCTCTCTCTCTCTGACTGTTCTCTCTCTCTCTCTCTCTGACTGTTCACTCGGCACTTCAGTGCTCATCCTCGCTGCTCTCTCTCTCTCTCTCACTCTGTCTTGGAACGCTCACTCTCCCTTCCTGAATACACCCACTCTACTACTCACTTCACCTTCTTCCACCCTCGCGGCTATGGCCCCACCGTCTTCCTGCTCATCTACCCCAACTATGGCGCTGGTCACCCTTCTTCCCCAATGCATAACCTGACTGCACAATCCGTTGGTCGCACAAGGGCTACAGCAGAGCTTCCGCAACATGTGAATTGGCAGGTGACCTTATGCTGCACTGTCACCAGGCACTAGAGAATTCCCACTGCAATACGAAACGTCACGCCTTGTGTAGTTCGTATTGCAGTTGAAATTTGCAACGTCTATACATCTTCTAGGACGCCACGCCTTGTGTAGTTCGTTCGGCGTGCGCGACGTTGCAAGATGCACAGAATTGTTATAGGCACTTGCTACCTTAGCTAAATGTTTGTCCCACTCAATCTGATCTGGTTTCATATACATGTGCAGCACCTGTTGCGGCAAGTTGTTCATCTGTTCGGTCTGGTGACTCTGGTCGTTTGCCTTCGGGTGTCGACCTGACAACATAGTTAGTTTTGACCCGTAGACTTTCATTAGTTGTTGCCAGTGCTCGCCCGTGAATTATTTTTATCACTCAATATCGCCCATTAAGTCAACGGATGCCCATAGTCTTTCACCCAATGGTTGAAGAATTCTCTAATCGCTAGATTTGTCTTAGCTATGGGTGGCAGCGAAATAAAGACAACAAATTTACTAAAAATATCCACAACTACCATAACCTCACTATTCCCACTTCTACTTTTAAGCTGCGTGGAACTCTCCTTTCGCTGACAGACTTTGCAGTCCTGAACATACAAGATGCAGTCATTTTTCGTACCTACTCATGTGTATGATCGTAGGAGGTTAGCATAAGTCTTCCTCCAACCGAAATGACCTTCAGAATCATGAGAGTCTTCCAAAATCAAACTGCAAACTCCCTCATCGTTCAGGACACACAAGGGTCATCTACGTCCATCTTCTCAAACAGTAATCCACCAGCCATTCGATATTCCGGGACTTCATGTGGGACTTCTTTTACCTTACGTAAAATCTCCCTAAGATGCCTATCATTCGAGTATGCATCTTTAATCCGCTATTACAGTTGAGAGCCTGCATCAAGGTAAGTGAGTATGGTTCCAAATAAAATTTCCCTTCTACTTAGTGTTCCGGCGACAACGTTGTACTTGTCTTTGATTGGCTTCTTTTCAAAGTCAAACTCACCTCTCTCCCTGGCCCACCTCGCTAACTCTGTAGACATATTGGCCTGCGTCTTGAGCCAGCAAAAATGTCTCATGATCTGAGTACACTTTAAAATGTCGTCCTAACAAACACCAATGTGACAAAGCCTCTCTCAATGCAAACAACTCTCTTTCATGCAGAGATGCAGCGACCTTCTCGCAAGGCAAGCTTTGAGACATACTCTACAGGCCGCTAACCATCTCCATCATTCTGTTGAAGTACAACGCCAATGGCATACGGGCTCGTGTTCGCCGTCACGGTTAATGGTAGGGATGGGTCTGCTATCTTGGGGTGACGACGTTGTACTTGTCTTTGATTGGCTTCATTTCAAAGTCAAACTCACCTCTCTCCCTGGCCCACCTCGCTAACTCTGTAGACATATTGGCCTGTGTCTTGAGCCAACAAAAATGTCTCATGATCTGAGTACACTTTAAAATGTCGTCCTAACAAATAGTGTCATCAATGTGGCAAAGCCTCTCTCAATGCAAAAAACTATCTTTCACACAGAGATGCAGCGACCTTCTTGCAAGGCAAGCTTTGAGACATACTCTACAGGCCGCTAACCATCTCCATCATTCTGTTGAAGTACAACGCCAATGGCATACGGGCTCGTGTTTGCCGTCACGGTCAATGGTAGGGATGGGTCTGCTATCTTGAGGACCAGATACTCTATTAGGCATTTCTTCAACTTCTTGAACACGGATGTGCAGCCTTTGTCCCATTGCCAGGCAGCCTCTAGCAACCTGCGTAGCAGTGCGGCAATGGACAAAAAGCCCCTTACAAACTTACAAGAGTAGTTGGTCAGTCCTAGGAACGATTATAGTTCCGTCAAAATGTGCGGAAGGGGCATCAAGAGAAGGCTGCTAAACAAAATCAGATCCCGTAGAGGGATCACCACTTATTGGCTCAGCCTCTCTTGTGGTAGAGTGTGCTGACAACAACTCTACGCCCATTGCTGGTTTCCCTACAACCGAAAACATTTGTCAACTGTATGCCCAGGTCCCTGGTAATGCAGGCAAACATTTCTCTTGAGCCTACTTTTCCATTCACTTTCACTAATCCAGAGATCAACCCAAGGTTTGGTTGCTGCATCTTCTGGTTTAGCTGGTATTTTGGCTCCTTTGGGGAGATGAAGAGTGTTCTTCATCGAGTTTTGATTATGTCCCTTGCTGTTCTTGGGAGACTCGGTGAAGGCATTAAGTTTTTCTTTGTCATTTGCACAGTCAAACTCATGGGCTGATGAAGAGCAAGATGCCTTGCAGTCTTGCTCTTGGTCGTCACCAAGAGAGGAGTCCTCTACAAAGGTCTCCTCGCCAACCTCTATTTGACCGTGCACTGCAAAACAGTTGCTGCCTGAAAACCGTTTGCGGCTTGTGGTCTCTTACCACCGAATCCACCCGGGAGGTCTTGTGGCTCTAGTTTGACTAAGTCCCGCATGAGGGAAAGCCAATTTGTATAGTTCGCGAGTCTGAGCCCCAGGCGATAAGATATAGTAGAGGGAATTCTACCTTTAATCACATCCAAGCAAGAGTGCGCAGCCATCTCCAAATCAGGAGTAGCAAAAAGCTTACTAATGTACTATTGCAGACTGTGTATGGTGCCCGTCCACTTGCTGTGCTTGAGTTTGTCAAGTTTGAGTCTAGCTTTAGCTGCAGCATGTGGATCTGTATATTGTTTGATCAAGAGTTCCTCGACTGTGGCTATCGGGGTAGCCTTCAACCATTTGTTCAGGTCTATTCTTTTGTAACCTGACTGTACAGCTGGGACTTCTAGGAAGCCACGTACGACAGGTTCCACATTGGTCCCTAGGACTGACGACTAAGTAATTGGGGGTGTCCTCAGCACATCAAAGTAGGACCGTATCAAGCTGATTCAAGACTCAATGCTGTCCTTCCCGTCGTACTTAGATGGAATCTGCACCGCCTTCCTATCCACGTAGGGAAAGTTGTAACTAGGACCAGCAGTTGCTGGGTTCGGACTTGGGGCTGCAGCAGTTCCAGAAGTCCCTGCGCTGCTACCTGGTGAGGTCAAATGCGGATGTTACACGGCCATGTCGGGTGGGGGCAGCTTCCCTGCACCACGCTGCCCCACTTTCCTCCAATGAACCAACCCTTACCCTAAGTGGTGCCCTCAACCACTTAGGTTAGGGATGGGGCAGCAAAGTCAACTCTTGCCAGCAAGTAGAATCTGCTCTGATACCAATGTTACAATCCTGGCCAATTTCGAAGTGCAAAATTCACGAGAAAGCACAATGCCGTCGAATTGCAAAACAAATGAATGAACTTGAGAGGAGGGAGAGATAAAGAAGAAGAAGAAGAAGAAAAAGAAGAAGAAGAAGAAGAAGAAAAAGAGAGAAAGAAGAAGAAGATGTACACCAGCGAAAGAACAATGATGCAGGCTTATCCTTCTTCTTCCTTCTTCTCCTTCCCTCGTCCTTCTTCTCCTTCCTTCGTCCTTCTTCTCCTTCATTCGTCCTTCTTCTTCTTCTTCTTCTTCTTCTTCTTCTTCTTCTTCTTCTTCTTCTCCATCTTTTCTTCTTCTTCTTCTTCTTCTTCTTCTTCTTCTTCTTCTTCTTCTTACCATTTATCTTCTTTCCTAATGCTCATTCTTCTTCTTCTTCTTCTTACCTTTGTTTTTTTTTGTTTTTTTTTCGAAACAGAACCTTAGGGTTCTGGCTCCTTTTCCATTCTGGGGAGCATCAGTCCGGTTCCTATTCCACCAGCAAGTCAGAAAATATTAAAATAATACGATAAGGCTGAATAAGCACTCACACACGCTCCTCCCCCTTATGGTGTGGAGGCCCGAAGGACGGCATAGATTACTTCCGGAAGGAAGGATGTACCACCCTTCACCCCTGCCTGAGTTAGCCTGCTCTATTTAACCGCTACTCTTGAGAGCTAGTCTGATTGCCTTGTCTTTCTGGTACTTTGTAGCTTGCCTCCCTGGGTCTCTACCTGCCTATTCCTCTCAGCTCCTTGACTTTCAGATTTACTTAACTTGTTGGAGCTGCCGGTTAGCTATCTCTCCATGGTCCTGCTAAAACCCTAAGCCCTGTCCGACTTCATTGCTAGCCGCTCTGTTAGAGCCCTAACCCCTAGCTAAATTTCCTTTTCACTTTTTGGGGTAATTACTGGTACTCCCGCTAGAACTTTGTTGTTTGAACTCTATCGACCTTGGGTCTATTCTTCTTACCATTTATCTTCTTTCCTAACGCTCGTTTTTCTTCTTCTTCTTCTTCTTGCCATTTATCTTCTTTCCTAACGCTCATTTTTTTCCTTCTTCTTCTTCTTGCCATTTATCTTCTTTCCTAATGCTCATTCTTCTTCTTCTTCTTCTTCTTCTTCTTCTTCTTCTTCTTCTTAGCATTATCTTCTTTCCTAGTGCTCATTCTTCTTCTTCTTCTTCTTCTTCCTCTTCTTCTTCTTCTTCTTCTTCTTCTTCTTCTTCTTCTTCTTCTTCTTCTTTTTCTTCTTACCATTTATCTTCTTTCCTAACGCTCGTTTTCTTCTATGTAAGTTGTGATGAATGGTATTGTCTCACATTTGAGTTTGGCATCGTGAACTGAGCAGGATTATAGCAATATGCCGTTGAATATCGAAAACAAAAAAGGCAAAAAAGGAGGCGGGGCAGGGGGGGAGGTGAATTCAAAAAATTAGTACCATTGCTATGCTGGAATCATGGATCCCCCATGGATTGTCTGGGGTTGGGTACTTAATGGATGTATGGGCACTGCAGGTCTGGCAGACTTACACCAGCAGACTGGCAAACATCGTCAGAATGAATAAAAAAAATAAATTTAAGGGGGGTGAAACGGTTTTCACCTTTGCAGAAGCTGATGCAGATCCCAGGGTCCGATCCCTAGACCTTACCTGCACCCGTGTACAGTATCGAGTAGACCCCTGTGTGTTTTGAGCCCGCGACCTGTGTTTTAGTAGTGACTGTTCCTTGTCGTAGGTCCCTGTAGTTGTAGGGATTCGATCTGTAGATCTGTCAAGTAGAGGTTATCGTTGTGTAGAGATCGAAACTGCTAGGCTAGATGTCTGTAGGCAAGTCGTAAGTTCAACTGCGTCGAGTCGGCAGTGCGACTGCGCCGAGTCGGCAGTGCAACCCCGTGCAGTCAGCGGTACCGGTCCCAGTCAATCGCAGTCCAGTCAAGCAAGTACCGTGTGGGACTGTGTGCACCAAGGGCCTGGAGGAAAGGGGCAGACCAGCGACCAATAGAAGTTTAAATCAAGAGGCAGCGTCCAGCAATTCATTCATTTGCTGCGTAAGCCATGCGGAAGCGCTGCCCCAGTGTCTTGTGCGAGGTGGTCTGCAGAGCGCCCCGAAGTCGAAGCGGGCTGGGAGAAGATAGCGTAGCCATAGTTAGTAGCTGAGCTGCCATAGTCGCTGTAGGTAGGAGAGAGGCGCTAGTATGTGAATGTGTGTGGGGTATTCAGGGTGATCCAGAGTCGAGTGTCCGCAAACAGTGGTGTTGGAAGCAGTATCGAGAGTTGGGATGTACAGGCGCTGATGCGCCATAGCCTGTTGAAGCAAGTTTGCGTCTGAACTGTGTTCTCGATCTCCATATCTCTGAGTTTTGAGTGGGCGCTGTGCGCCAGTGTGAATCGCCATCTGTTTGAATGTATGTGAAGCGAAGAAGAAAGCGAGTCTGATTGCAGGGGCAAAAAAGGTTTTAAAAATCCATCTTACTTCCTAAATCGCTTGTTGGAGTCGGCAAATTTACCAATCCTTTGTTCTTCAAGTGCACATTCTCTCCCCCCCCCCTTCCCCCCCCTCCCCCCCCCAATATTTCTTATTGTTTTCGCCGACTGGTCAACTCTTTTTCAGAAACGGTGCAAGGCATGTGTTTTGTTGGAGGGGCTGAACCAAGGGCAACCACTCCTGGGAATCGGAAGGGCGCGGAAGAGCGGCAACGACAGGGATCCCTCAGCGAATTCTGGGGATCGAAACAGCGAATACCAGGTGTCAGAAGCGAGAGGCACAGAGGCACAGAAGCGGCGTGGCAAGAGGAGGAATAGGCAGCCAAGACAAGGTGGCATAAGGTCAGAAGATTGTGTGCAAATCAGTTATGAGGAAACATCATAGTAGCTGGCTTTCACAACAGGACTGTGATCCTTATTGCTGTACCACCAGTACCCTTTGTGAAAATCTCTCAAGAATTATGGATGTCAAATTGTGAATTGATTGTAACCGCCGTCTTTCCAACACTTGCTGGATTCTTGTTCTGTCAAAAGCCTTTGCGAGACCGAGTAATCTACAGCAGCATTGTTGTAGGTGTGCATGTGCGGAGGTAAGGGAGGAGGGGGTCGCCGTAAAGTGGGTGCTGGTGGGGGCATGGGTGCGGTTGCGCGCGCGCGTGCGTGTGTGTGTGTTGACTGTCACCAGAACAAACTCCTTGACGATCCAAATGAGTAGATCCAACATTGAAACAGTGTTACCTTATAATCTCCAATGAAGATATATCAACTTTTTTTTTGTTTTTTTTTTTGTTTTTTTTCTGCACAAGTGCTCCAGTCTATTTGTGGGGAGCAGCATGTGCTGGGAACCGGGCCGAGCGTCCCATATCGAATTATACAGATCATTGAGAACATTTGAGGTCGTTTGAGGTCATTTGAGATACGGGGGCCATTACCCGGCTTATATCAAGTTATATGATATTTTCAATGATTGTAATTTTCTGATGAAATGACATGGTATGGGCAAGACATGCTGGTCGTCGCATTCATGCAGCCTTAAAGAGTAGGACCGCATGGCTAATGGTCAGACTGGCTACTGCATGATTTCCTTCAATAGGAGCAATCCCTTCAGAGAGGTAGCATTTCCATGCGCTACCGTGTTCACCCGAATAGAACGCCCAGTCATTGTAGAGAGGTATTTGGCACAACTTTTAGCCCAGATACGGCGATAATTACCGGGCGTTCTATTCTTCGGGTGAAGACGGTACGCAGGTTCATTTTCCTCAGTGTGTAGAAACTTGACAGCATTTTGTTCATCTATCTGTACAGCAGCCAGAAAATGCGACGATGAAAGTTGTGAGTGGTCAGAGGCATCTTATGTCTCCAACATTTTGCTTTGAGGACCTTATTTGAAGTTATTTCTCAATTTGTCTATGACAATATCGCCGCCTGCTTCCTTGTTTCGAGGTGGTCGAGTATGAAGCTGCAGGAAACAATCACAATGTTTCATGATGTGTTCTTAGGGCTCCTGGCGGCCACAATCTCTAAGTATTGTATAGTTCACTCCGAGATCTACATAGTCAAAAGGCTAAAGGAAATCTCGTACGAAGGTCAGCCCATCTACGTAATGGTAGCAATTAAACCGTCTGTGTGTCTGGGGGGGTTAACCGTTGTCAGGAGAAAGGTGGGATATCTTATGGGTTGCTCCACGATCCACATAGTCGAAAGGCACCGGGGCTTCTTCTTCAGCTTTTGTCATAATCGCACAAGCAATGCTTTAAAAAGTAGAAAAAAGTATCATTGTTAAATAGGTTCGGACTTTCCCGGATATAGTGAAGTAGCAAGGTCAGAGATTACTCGTCTGACACGGCAATGAGTTTACCACTTTCAAGGAAAAGAAACATCTTACAATCTCAAAAAAAAAAAAAAAAAAAAAAAACTTACAAAGGTCAGCCGAGCTATGTAATGGTAGCAATGTAGCATTTGAACCGTCTCTGTGTCAGGGGAGGAGGGGGAGGGGGGGGGGGGTTAAATGTTGTCAGGAGAAAGGTGGGATATGGAGCTATGGGTCGCTCCAGGAGCTACATAGTCAAAACGCTTGATGGAATCTCTTAAGAAGGTGTGCCAATCCAAGTAGCGCTACCATTTGAACCATCTGTGTGTGTGTGTGTGTGTGTGTGTGTGTGTGTG